ATTATCTACTGCGCAAAACAATTTTTCACTTGTGATAGCTTTACAGTCATCACTGACAAATTGCAGCTATGATGGATTTATGGTCAGCAATGACTCTGAAAAAGACATGAGAGCGAGCACCATAGATATATAGTGAATCAATTCCGAATACCCATGTGTTAAAGAGAAATGAAAACTCACACACATACGTTTGTTTACATCAGTTTTTGCACAAGAAAATGATAGAAACTTTGTTCTGCGCGCTGACAAAATTTTTTTAGCTGTGACTGTCATATGACAGTCAAATGACTGTCACTGTTTTTGTAGGATTCTTAATATTATCGGTTTTATTTTTCGTAAGATGGCAACTCTGTTTTAAAATATGTCTAATTTACCGCCTTAGAGAAACTGTGCTTAATCGCCTTAGCCTTTTTTAGTTCAGTTGCTATTTATTTTTCACTTTTGGCTAGATGGCAACTCTGTTCCGATATAAGTCGAAAATAAAACTAAATCGAAATATTTTCAGAAGTGTTTTTTTAAACTTTATATAAAACATTATTATTTGATATTTTAAAACTAAAATTTTTGGCAGATGGCAACTCTGTTTTGCATTATGCTCAAATATCAATGCTCTGATTTCTAGAGTGGTGATAATTAATTCCTTATTAATTTATTAATTAATTTTTGCGCATTTGACTTTACGGCTGCAAATATGTTCTTAAAGTATGTTGACTTCCAAGAAACCTTTAATTATAATAAACATTCTATTAATTTATAGTGGCACCTTTTATAAAAATATGCTCATTACTCTCTATTTTATTCTTTGCTTTATCAGCAGTTGCCTCAGTCATAAAAAATTAACTCTGCGGACGGCAGTTTGCATGTCGCCTCATTTCGTTTACCACCCGTCTGATACAGTTTGTTCGCCTAACGGCTGATGGCGGCCAGAGATAGCAAGCCGAGTACCTATACATACCCACACACACGCATATGCATGTCCTGCGGAGTTAATGAAGGCAGCAGGTGAAATGGGATGTGACGGTAACAGCGATATAATGAAATTAGCACAATAGGCAATTTTTCTTTAAAAGCGAATTAAGAGCGTGCAGCAATAAAAAAAAACGAGAAAAACCCTGAACAAATTTTGCGCTGCCACACAATTAACTTGCTATAAGCCAAAGAAAAAGTGAGCGAGATTTTTTTTTCGTTTGGTGCCTTGCATACACAAGAAATAAAACAACAAACGGTGTGGACTCAACCGCCGGTAGTAAAATAAAGGCTTGACACAGCGACTTTTTTTGTTGTTTTGAAATGAACTGACAGCGGTGTGCTGACCTCATTGCGGCGGCTTTGACAAGGGACAAAAATTATTAAAATGGACAGGAAAGGTTTGAACGAAAATTAAATAGAACTCAAGTTGCTGTTGCAAATTTTTATATTTTAAAGAAAAAGTGTTGGGAAAAGCGCTAAAAACCTTATTTTATGGGTGGAAAAGCAAATAGCTGAGTATATTTTTTACTATTTACGGCAATCTTTGCGCGGCACGAAATCTTGTGCCAGCTCAGTTTAGCGCGAGAATCGTTAAGTCGCCTGCAGCAGTGCGGCAAAGTAAGCACAGCGGAAAGGTAACAACAGCAATTTCGTAAACAACATCCCAAGCGATAAGCTTGTTGAGCCATAACAAAGCAAAGAAGTGAATAAACAAATAAATAAAATTAAAAAAGCGGTACTTTACACCGCGTGAAGTCGCTTGAAGTTGCTGTGGCCCTTTGCTTAATGCCATTGGCAACGCGGCGTGTGCAAAGAACTGACAAATTTAAATTGAAAGTAAATGTTTGGCGCCCTGTTTGCTTATGCAAAGTTAGTTAAATGCGTTCACTCTAAAACAACGGGCAACGCCTCAAAGTATACTGTGCATGTCTGCTTTAAGGCAACCAAAGCAAAGGAAATTACGCTTTTGTTGTCTGCTCGCGGTCACTTTAAGCTTGTGTCTTTGTTGTTGTATTTTTTTTTTACCCTGTGGTAGCTGCTCCCATGTTGCGCAGTTAGTTATGCCGTTGCTTAGCTGTAGCCGCGCTGGTAACATGCAATCATGTTGATAACAATAATTGCCTAAAACCACCAATTTAAACGTGAAAGCCACTGAAAAACACTCCTCTACACAATACAACACCGCAAACGTTTAATATTTAAGCAACGCTTGTTGTGAGGCTTTGCAGTTGTGCTGGCATTAGGTGTACCCTTATGTGGTAGAAAAATGTGTGTGTTATCAAAAGTGGACTAATTGTGTACTACTCACTTAGTAAAACTAAAAATGTCATTCTTGAATATATATTTATATAATAGAAGATAATTGAGATATTTTACGTTCTAAGTATTTAAATTGTTCCATTGATCTACAACCAGTAACGCCTGAATAAAAGCTCGCATGCATGTTCCACGCAAACAACTGGTTGAGAGAAGTTCTAACAGTATAATATAATATTAATTGTAAAGCGGAGACCCGTAGACGTCCCGACTATTGCGTGCCCACACAATTTCAGTAAAAGGCACATGCTTTCGCATAGTCACGCTTTGTGGTCCGTTTACATGATTATATAGCTTATAAGCAGCTGCTTGGCAAATTACACGAGTAAAGTGGATACAAATTCTTCGTGGTTACGTATACGCCATGTCGTACAAGGTGTTTAGAATACTTCGAAACTGTTAAATGCAAATGTTTGTGAATATATATATTTCCATTGGTCTCTGCAATGGATTTAAGCTGATAAAGGAGAAGCTGTATGCTTTCAGTTTGAACTCGCGCTCGTTTCGCCGATTTCACGAAGTGAAGTTTTTCAATAAAATAAGTCATAAAGCTAAACTCGATTTCTATTTTATAGAGTCAGAAAATGGCATTATGTAATCCTTTGTGAAGCTATAAAATAAAGCTTCTGTCTCCTGAGTCCGTTCTCTGCTAGGGCGCTTAATTTCTATCGCCTCAGCTCAAGTAATATCTGAGGGGAGAGCTCGATAGTGTTTAATCAATGCTTCGTAAAGGCGGAATAATCAAGAAAGAAGTGATGAGATATTTCTACCTCGTCTTTTTTCAAGCAACTTCTAATGCTGTTATCTGATAATATTGTTACCTTACAGCATAGACGACGATTGGGCAATGATCTGTTGGAACTCCGAAAAGTAGGGAGGGGCTAACTTTACTGAGGGCAAAGAGCTTGAGCTCGCGCGAAGTCTAGGTAACTAATAGTAGAACTAACACGAAGAGGCCAAATCCCCAATCCGTTCTCTCTTTACTAATAGCGTGGCTAGGGTGCCTTTTCTTGTCTGCTCATCAGCTTTGCAGTTACCTGCGATTTTGCTGTAGGTTGGCGTCCATACTAGTCTGGTCACAAAATGACTATTGATAACGAAGGAATTAGGAAGCTAGTCAGCCTTGATTCTATTTTACAAACTATAAATTTTTTAAAAGTATCTCACATTATTATTTTAAAGATTTATGTGGAATATTTAAATAACAAAAAAAAAAAACAAAAATTCTCTTCAGAGTTTTGCTCTAATTTTATGTTAAGAAGAAAGTTTAAATTATTATTTTCCTTATGTAATAGCAGTATAGTCTTTACGGTCGGCTCAAACATATTTGTGACAAATTATACTTCATAAATCAATTTGGCTTGCCTTTAGCTGCTAGTATTTACTCTCGCGTTCGCCTTTCTTTATCTAAACCACTATAAATTTGTTGTTGCATTAAAGTAGACAGCAATGACAATAAGCCGAGCGTAGGCAGCTTAGTACTATTGCAACATTATATAATGAGCTAGCAAAATATATTTGTCCGATATATATATGAAGTGAGACTTTAATGAGGACTCCACTCTATTCAAAACTCATATATAATAAAAATACGAAAGAGTAAGCGACGGAAGTAGAAGATATCTACACATTTATGCTAACTTTCGGTCATTAAGGGTTATCGTAAGCAATATTTAGCGCTAAATGGTTACATTAATGCAGTCAGCCTAGAAGCACAGCCGTTATTGGCATAAGACATATTTTAAAAAAGTTTTCGTGCCTTTAATGACTTGTATAGTTGACCAAAATATTACATAATTTATAATAAATGGGACAAAACTTTCCAACAACGTTAAACAGAAACACAAAAGTGAAATTTTAACTACTCGGCCAAGCATATATTTACGAAACCAATTAAGAGACACTCATCAACACTCTACTGTACACTGTAATTACAAGCCTAAATAGACGCCTCTAATAACAGTTACGTATGAACTTAAACACTTGTGAACACAATATTATGGGAACAGGTGTTATTGCTATAATTAGGGCTCAAATTAAGTTGTTTAATAAGCAGTCAGAAGCACTGAAGAAAATATGGAGACAAGAAAAACGTTAACTTCGGTTGCACTGTAACTATATTAACCTCCACACATAAAAAAGTTTCCATAAAAAACCTGATTTTATTGGTCAGTTTGTATGGCAGCTATATGATATAGTAGTCTGATCTGAATTTTTCCGCAGATTGTACCGTTATTTTAGACAATAATCAATGTAAAATTTCGTTAAGATTTCACGTCAAATGTATGTATGACAGCTATATGCCACAACGATCTGATAACGGTGGTTTCGATAAATGAGCAACCTCTTGATGAGATAAAGACGTGTAAAAAATTTCAGATCGATATCTTAAAAACTGATGGACCTTTTTGCATATATACGGACATTGCTAAATCCACTCTGCCCATCATGCTGATAATTTATTTATATACTTTATAAGGTCTCCGCCGTTTCCTTCTGAGTGTTACTCATTTCATGCTAAATTTAATATACTCTTTCAGCTTATAAAAAAAATGAGTCGCAATAAATATAGTCACCATATTTCTTATATAAAAAAAATTGAATAATATTAAATATAAAATATAGCATATAATACAAAACCTATCAGTAGCTGAGCGTTATATATACAAAATAAAAATATATAAATATAGGTATTAATGTAAGCGCATACTTACATCGTAGTTTTCAGGCAAGCCAGGCGGTCCCGGCGGGCCAGGTGGCCCCAGCATGCCGGGCATGCCGTCGACGCCAGGCTCGCCTTTATGGCCTTGCAGACCCTCGGGACCACGGGAGCCAGGATCGCCCCTATCGCCGCGGTCACCTTTCGGACCGGGGGCACCGCGTTCACCTGGTTTCCCTGTAGCACCCTGTGAAACAGAAAGAAAAAAAATTAGCTTGTTATTATAATATTATAATTCATTGTTTAAGTACAGCTTTGGAAATGTAGCATTATTGGTTGTATATAAAAAGTAGAAATACACGTGTCTAGAAATATAGGTTAGCTAAGTTACGTAACGAGCAATATTTTATAATGCAGCTACTTATCCTTACGCCTGTTGAAATATTGAAATATTCTACTGAAGAATATTTTAAACGAATAGCAAATTCATCAAATGCTCTTAGCGCATCTCAGATGCCTAAAATGTCTGTTCTTCTAACTAAGAAAAAGTATAATGAAAATGCATATACTCGTACACACCCTGTATTAAAGAAATGCTCAAGCAGACCCTTACCTGGAATGTGACATTAAAAATGTAAATAAATGTCCAGTCATTTGACACTCCTTTATTGCTTGCTTTTAAGGAGCGCACGCTATGTAAATTTTGCCCCGCAGCTGCTAAAGTTTTCTTTCTTTTATTTTAGCGTATTTCGCAACCCTTTTTCGCCAAATTCGTCTATAATATATGCATCTTCGTCATGCTTACGAGTACATACATAAAGTTGCGTTTCAGTGACGACTTTTGAAGAATTTGACCCTATCTATTGTTCACACACCGTTTTGTCACTTTCGACAGACTGCTTGTTGTTGTTTTAGACTTTCATCTATTTTGTGCCTTACTTTGCGTGTTGCTTAATGTTCGTCGTGTCGTTCTTAATGTTGTGCATGTGCATTGCCTGCGTTTTTCCATACAATGACGTGTTGTTGTTGTTATTTTTAATCTTAATGTTGTTATTTATGTTTTTGCTATTATTGTTTTGGTGTTGTTGGCCTTATCGGATTTAATTAATTGCCCTAAGTAAAGGGATTAGCCTGACAGCTAGCAATGGCGTATGGGCTGGCTGCGACAAGTCGGTACCGGAATTTCCGGTATTTCGCCAAGTTTTATCGCACAAACGATATGCGAAATAACAATTACGCAGAATTGCGAAAAAAATTGTTCACAAAAAACAAAAGAGTGGTGGATGTGTGCGTAAAAAAGAAACAGTTATAAATAAGACGTATCCTAAGCTCATAAGCAAATCGGTGTTGTTCTGCAGGTTCCATTGCGTAAAGTGATTTTTTATTTTGGCGGACAGACTCGCAAATTTCTTTATTTTTTACTTTTTGCTACGCCTCTTTTGTGTTGTTTAATTTTTTGTTAATGGCTTTACATAAATTTAGTTTGTTTTAAGGAATTTGTTTGACATTAATTGCCAAGAAAAGTAGTTAGCACCAAATTCGTGTATAGAAATGTATATATTAATGAGCTCGAATGCCCTTTTAAAATAAGCTTTGTGCATTGTGAGTGCTTGTGCTGGCAAATAAATGTAAATTATCTTCTATTCTAGCTTCTGTGGTTTAAGAATTTAACAAGAATATCTGGCAATATAAATTGCTATTTTAATTTAATGAATACACGTATATTTAAGGTAACTATTTTTTTAGATAAATTTAATAAATTTTTTATAACTGAAAGCATTACTAGCAATTACCATACCATACGGAAGCAAATATATGGGAAGTTCTCCGGTACTAATTGTCGCTTACTTCCAATGGTAAGCAAATAATTCCTCAAGAAAAACCCGTGTAGCTATTAATTTTAATAAAGAGTGCGCGTATTCATCACCAAGCTCATTGAGGTTCTCACAAATAAATATTGCAAAATAATTTTTTTTTGGAACTTCCAAAATATTAAATCAAATATGTGTGAAGAATGCAACCCATGTTAGGGTCCAATGAATAAAAGAAGCAGAGATTATAAATTTCTATAGAGAAGTCATTTCTGAATAAGTCTCAGAGCTAACAGGTGTTTATAGGATCAAAATACTTATGAAAATATAAAAAGTTAGCAGGTCTTAAAAATCACAAGTCAGCTAAACAACTTATGATTTTTAGGAGTTAGACAAGGTTCAAAATCAAGCATATATTGTTTTCTAAAATACTTATACTCCACTTATAGTCGATTAAATGAAATAAATAAATATAATATAAAGTTAGTTATAATAGTTATACATGTGGTTTTTGAGAAGAAATTAAACGCACATTTAGCTTTATTATAATGATAAGGAGTTGCCATTATGTTTTAAACATTATTCCAAGGCCTCAATCGTCTCGGTCTTATCTGCGTAGACAAGCCACTTCTAATATCTCCACAAAAAAAATCCAAAAAGTTTTCTTCAATAATTGATGGTTTTGTTGGCTGTATGGCAGTTTTGTTGGAGCCAAAGGTCGTCTAATTTAAGTTTAATAGCGTTCCTTATTGGCTTTAAGATTTTAGCCGGTTTCATTTTTGACGAAATATGGACCAATGAACACTTTCCCCATATAGCATACCAAAAAGTAAATTTTTGTGGATGTACCGGTGTCTCAACAATGGCTTGTGGCTTATCATCACTCCAAATGGGACAACTTTTGTTTATTAATATACTTAACCAAAAGTGAGCTTCAACGCTGAACAAAAAAATGTAGCAAACTGAGTATAAACTAACTAACAGCTGTCAAAATGATCAGCTCAGAAAAAAATATTGCCTGATTGAAAACCACACGTCTAAAAGAACACCCGCTATGATATATGATGATATAACTTTTTACTCGGACACCGAAATTATAAGGCCTTCAAAGTTATTATGTTTGTTGCGTAAGAGGTATATAAAATAATAGGTGATCCAAGCATTACTCGAGCAACTGAATGGGGAAAATGATCGATAAACGCAATATATCTAGTCTAAGATATTTACTTAGCGCAATACTTGTATCATTGTTCTCGCATATAGCCCATTTACTAAGAAATAAGCTTCCATATTGCATTACAAGTATTTATTTTTGTCAATTAGCAGATTCTCTTAACTAAATTCTAACAAAACAGAGGTAAAATATTTGATTTTGAAGACCAACCGCTTTTCGTTTAATATAATGCATAAGGCTTCGTTCCATGCGATGCTAAAAAACAATAAAAGTAATTCTTAAATAATGTAAATTAAATTAATTAATAATTATATGTTAAGTAATTGATGTTGAATTATTGATTGTAAAGTTGAAGGTTCTAAAGTGCCTCACATTTCACTTTTGAATTGTGAAGATGCAGATTTCCTAAATGTCGATTGCTCTGACAACAAAATATCATAACATATATTTAGGTTGACTTTCAAAAATATTTTACACGAAATGCAACACTGCCTCATTTTATTCCTTGTGAAGCCACGTTATTCAGAAGTTCTACTAAACTAAGCCATACAAATTTCTTTTTCTATAAAACATAGTGTTAGTATACACATAGTTATGAGTACATATACACATGCACCAAAGCATCCATTGGTGTAAATGTAGGCATTAGCATAGTCGAAAATCATATATCATATAAATATGTATATATATCTTGTGTTTGTGTGTCCACATTATTACGATCATATTTCATATTCACTTTGAAGTGTCTATGCCTCAAGTGTGCCGAGGGATGCTGGCACGCAATTTTTCTTTTTGTTGTTTATATATGTAAGTAAGACATATTGCGGCTACCGGCACTATCTTTAAAATACTTGTGTATGTCCAACAAGCACTTGCCATAACATCCACTTAAGCTTATAAGCGGAGCAGTACAGCCACACAAACATATACTTATATTGTATAATAATACAAAGTTCACAGTAGAAAGTGCATTTATAAATAGTAGAAATATAAATATATACAGCTCAGTGCTCTAAGATAATTTATCGTGGCGAATTAGGTAACATATATTAATGTTTTAAAAGGTGATGTAAAAGAAGCTCTTGCGCAGTATACATGACCACTTTTCAGGGCTTGTTTGCGCCCATATATAGTACAACAACTATGTTGTAGTGACATATCTCGAGCCAGAGAAGATGTTTGAATAACAAGATACTTGTAAGATCGAATTTGCCAAAAAAAATTTACTAAATAATGATCCCCCCTAGTTTTTAATATATGCACATTTGGGTAGAGCGAAAAAAAAAAATTTTTTTTTGCTTAGCCTGAGGGTAAAATTTGTAGATTATAAATAAAGAATATTTTTTTTAACACATAGAGCGGCCCACAAACTCTTAAAGTCAATTTCGTTATCGAATTTGACGGTTTTTGACTCAAAATTTACTTTAACGCTTAAGGTTGTTGTTTAAGACTTTTTTTAAAACTCCAATAATGACCACAAAAAATATTTTTAAGTTGATAACTTTTAATTGTCCAAAAAGAGGACTTTCCACAGCTTCTAGAATACTTTTTGTCCAAAACAAATTTTAACTCGAAATTTACTTTAAAAGTGAGTGTGTGATTTACTAAGTAATGAACCCCACTAGTTTTTAATATATGCACATTTGGGTAGAGCGAAAAAAAAAAATTTTTTTTCGCTCCACCCTAAAGCACATATACATAATTTCCGTTTGTAAGCCTTCTTATTCCTTAGTAGTTGAATTTCTATACATTTTTACTTTACAAAAAATTAGTTACAGAAAGAAGAGCTCAGTTGAAGTAAGAAGCTTCCTTTAGACTTGTACACTAATATCATAAAGAAATACTTCAATGTAGAAATACCAAATGTTTCATGCACAAGCTAAAAGAACTATATGCTACACAAGTGAGAAGAAACTACGTGACAGTTATAAACGAGTTTGTGCGAAAACCCATGAAGGACACAAAAAATTGCCACTCACTACATTTTTCATATCGCAGAGCATTTACATTTTTAATTCAAGTATAAATGATAAAACAACAAACACAAGTCCATAACATACATGAGTTGTATGTGCATGCGCAACTATGCTACAAAGCTTACGCAGCGTAGCATAGCATAGAAGTTATGCCGACAGGCGAAAGTGTCTACAAATCATATGTGTCATGTGGCTGAAAAGTAAATTTTAACACCTTGTTGGTTATCTACAGTGCATATGAGATTGCTATGCTTGAGTGGAAGAAGGGAAAGCATAGAAAAATAAG